ATATATATATATATATATATATATAGGGTCGCGCCGTGGCGATTTCTTTCGTCTTCTTCTTTGAATCATCTTCTCGTTCGGCTTCATTGCCTTTGTCAACTTTGTTTGCTTAAGCCAACCTCTTCAGCTACTAGTGTTCATGATTTTGTTGTCTTCCATGGCTCAAATCGTTGATCGAGTGGTTTTGGCATGGTTTTCTCGTCGCCGTCGCCATTTCTCCTCTTTAAAGAGTCGCACACCCCGTCCTAATTTAGAATGGCGACAAGATCTGGCGTGAAAGATCGCTCATGAGACGAGAATGGTTATCCGAACTTGGGCTTCGATTTTGGCTTTTTTTGGTGAGATCTCTCCGTTTATTTTTCTGCTTGGACTAGTTGTGTGGTTGTTTTCCTCTTTCACGCCACTCATCGGAGTAGTGATCCATGCTTCTGGACCCTAGTAGTCTTGCGAGTCTCGCACGTCACTCACCCTCAGCCGTCTCCTCCATTCGAACAACTTGCACGTACGAGTCAGTTATCTCGATCGATTATTAAAGCCAAACAAATTGGTCATTTGGTTTCTGCTCTGTCTCGCTGTTCTGCTTTAGACACACGTTTGATTCTGTGGATTCTGTTTCTCCTCAACCATCGACTGCTTTAGTTTTAAACCCTGGGAAAACTTCTTATGTTTTTATGGTTGGCTCTGTGGGATCAGTGGATAATTGAGTTTTCCCTCAGGTTTATCATGAATTATTTGAAGGCGAGGGGGACTGTATCCTCATCAAGAAGGCGATTAGGAAGAGTGACAGACTAGCTCTAATTTTCTCTAATGTTGAAGTTTTCAACCTGGTTGAAAAGTGCAAATTTGCCCTCATTGAGAAGTTTCAATTAGGACGTCCCAAAATGGAAATCATTCCAAAGATTTTTGAAAATCTTTGAAGATCTCAAACCATTGGGAGGTTGGAAGGTTGGCCTCTTTGATGAGAGGCATGAGATGATACAATTTACTAAAGTAAAGAACTATACCAAAATGTTTTCGAAGAAGCACATGACAACTGGTGGAAAATTTATAAAATTGCTCAAGTGATTTTCTGAATTTGATTCGAACCAAGAACCCCCTATAGTTCCAATTTTGTTTAAACTATCTGGCATAAAGTTTCACTACTTTAATCACCAAGTTCTCTATTATGTTGGAGCTCCACCAGGAAGACCTATGAAATTTAACATACCCACCTTCAACCTATCTAGGCCTTATGTTGCAAGGATTCTTGTTGAACGAGATATCACCCTCTCTAATGTGGAAGAAGTATGACTTGGAACTACTTACAATGGGTATTGACAGTCAATTATTATTGAACAAAGACTCTACTACTGTAATCACTGTAAACTGTTTGGGCGCACATCTGCCAATTGCTTCAGGTTTCATCCAAATTTGAGATCCAACTTTCCTGTGCATGTGGATTCTGCAATTCTTAACAACATCATCCAAGTGGAGGAAAATATAGCTGAAACTGAAGAACTTCTAGAAATGTTGAATGAAAATTTGTCTTATCAGACTATTCCTCACTAACCAGTTCAACAGCTACCCCCACTGTTGGTGAGACAGTTCTTCCTCAGATCATAAACAATAAGAATTTGGCTGTAGCAGATGATAGCCGAAGTGTTTTGGAACCACCTGTTTCGAGAGAAGAGGGTACTCAAGTTCTAGAGGAGTGCCAAGATCAAGGTTTGCTGCAGGTTGAGACAGCTCAGCAATTTACAGATCAACAGACTCCCCTGGGTGAGCTCTCCATCGAAGATCCACCAATTGATTACATGAGAAAAACACTGGCAGATGAATGACAAGTTTACAAAGCTAGGAAGAAGAAAAAAAGAATGCTAAAACTTGAGAATTTTTGGGATGACTGTTTGATAGTTTCAGGTGCAAGCCCATATCATAATTTGTAGCTGCACTCCCTCCCTAGAATCAGGGTGAAGGGAAGTGATAAATCCACCCACCATGATTAGGAGTATTTCATAATTTTTGGGGTATACATGTATTTTAATGTCTCTTTTGAGTGAGTTGTATTCCCTGTGAGCAGACTCTTAATACCCACTCACTAAACCGTTTGTATCTTCCCTTTTTTATCAATGATTTCTTTTTTAGTACCCACTCACTAAAAAAGAATGTCAAACACAAACGAACAAAACTGTTTGTGTTCGATTCGTTTTTATATCGAGTGCAAATGAATTGTTCGTGTTCGGTTTGTTTACTTAGTGAACGAATCAAACAGGAGCTACTTAACGAGCTAAACACGAACAACGAGCCATTTTGACGACCCTACTTAGCATCATCAATAATTGTCACATTGTTAGTTGTATATTTTCCTTACATTTTTAATTTTTTTCATAACTTCTTTGTTTAAATCATTTATCTCAGTAATATATTTATTGGTCATTTTGGATTTTTATTCTTGTCTTAGTAGCTTCTAATTGTTGAGCTTTATCTGCTTATTTTCTTTTCTTTAAGGTTTTTTTCATTGAAATTTGTGGTATGATCGAAGTTAATTATTGGTTTCTAATGTTTGTTTTGTTGCATGGACGGAGGCGAAGAGGCGGCTAACTTGGTGTCCTGGACTATTTTCTCATAAATTGCCTAATGAGATCGTAATTCTTATTGGACCTGCTTATTGGACTTGATATTTATTTAATTTATTGTTTGATTTTTCATATTATTCTGAATTAAATTCCTGCTTGATCCAATTACATGTCTTCTCTCATTTATACGCTTTATGCTGTTTATGCCATGTTTTTACTTGCTGAACCTTTGACTCTCAGCCATGGGATGTGTTTGTAGCCACCGATTTTTTTTGGTTGCTTAGTGGAAGAGAAAAAACATGGACTTGAACCCAAGTAGGTCATTTTGTTTTGATGTGACTTGAGGTGCCTAGATGCGTAGGCCACTTGCATGTTGGCATTCGAATATAGCCCATTCTCTGATTGGAAGTATCACTTCAGATTAAATAGCTATCTGTGCCAAAGGGAATCTTCTAATTATTGTGCTTTAGAACTTTCTTACGGGAATAAAATCACAGAAAACTTGACAGGAGCAATACAAATTCAAGTTTTAAGAATTTTTTCTTATGGAAAACTATCTTGAAGTTAAAATCTTGGGTATAATTGTAATTATCTGTTGACAGTGTACCTTGTGCTGAAGTCTTGGGTATGATTGTAATTGCTGGGGTTGACATTGGATTTTCTGTCACGATCCTTAGTAAAAATATCATATAAAATATTTTCTTTCGGTGAACTGTTGGTTGGACAGAGAAAATTATCTAACAATTTCATTTCATAATTAAATCCATTCTAAAGGATAAAGCATCGTTCTATTTGAGATGAGCGTGCGGCACTTAGACTTGAAGAGAAATTTAATGAATTTGAGACACTTTCTGTCTAATTTTTATTAAGGATATCCTCTTGCACAACTTGCTGATTGAGTTTGCTTCTATTGTCAAATTTTTCTCTGGATTTAGCTTTGGTTTTTAGTCATATTGATTCAACATGGTTGCAATGCTTTGAAATTAAATTTGAACAGTTTGTTGGCTGCTTGATATGATCTTTATCTTTCATTACAAAATCCATTACAAAATTTACATTTTTGTTTTGTTTTGTTTTTTTTAATGATTAATATATATATATTTTTATTGTTTGAAAGTTTCTTATTTTGGTCAATAGGACCATGTGTACGTCTTTTTCATGATTAATTTTCTTGTATTATAGATTTTTCTTGATTAATTTAATTAGATGCTTAATGTGGGGTTTGTGAGCAATTATTTTCTCTTGAGTAATTTTAGGTTTCAACTAATTAGGGGTGTAATTTTTGGTCAAATAAAATAAAATAATAAAAAAACCGAACGAAACCAGACAGGATTGTTTGATTCGGTTTTGTTTCATAAACACATTTCAGTTTTTTTGTCTTTTTTAAAACCTGAATATTTAGTCGGAAACCAAAAGTGGAATGCTTATTTCTACTGAAATGATATGAAATACAGTTAGCATCTGGAATCAAAAGAAGTGTGAACACAAAATGGAAGTAATATGGTCTCATTTCATCTTCTTGGTTGCAACAGCTTTAGTAGAGGAAATATGTACCTGAAGACCATAACCCTTCCACAACTTGATTTTAACAATATAGTTACACAATTTTGTCCCGAACCACTTGTATGTGGCTTAGTTTGTTTTGCTGATAGTTTTGCGATTTGTTGGATGGTTTTCATTGTGTGGTTGAGATGGTTTTGGGCAGAGCTTTGGTGAAGATTTGGGGAACCTTAGAATGAGAAGAGATGTGATGAACTGTAATAACTTTCTAAAGAGTGCTTTCACTGTTGAGTCAAATCTTTTTTTATATGTTTGATTTTAGCATGAAAGATTACTTTGTTGGCAATTACTACCACAACAAAGAGATGTTGCCGTTTTGGTGGGAATTTGTATTCACTATAGACTAGGGGTGTAAACGAGCCGAACACGAGACACATTACATCTATTTTTCTCAATTTTAGATTAACGAGCCAATTTCGAGCCGAACACGAGCCGTACACGAACAGAGAGTTGTTTTGACAACACTAATCAAGTAGCAATAAGACAATAAGAGTTTGAGCAAGATTTAAAATTTTTTATTTATATTAAAACATTATTCATCGTGATGAATATCGTGATGAGTATCGTGAGGGTGACGGTGTCGGTGAGGTATTGTATTGTATTTTTTTTGTTATTTGATAAAATTAAATTTTATCTGCATTATCAAATTGATGAGTAGTATTTCGAGCCAAAACGAGCCGAACACGAACGAACACATCTTAGTTCGTGTTCAACTCGTTAATTTATCGAACGAAATTAACGAGCCGAACACGAGCTGTTCGCGAACAACGAGCCGTTTTGACAGCCCTACTGTAGACTATTTCTTTACACACCAAGAGATTAGAGTATGACATAAATGAACATTATATAGCTTTGTGTTTGACTTTCAATCTTTTGCATCACCAGTTGAATCAAAAACTTGCAAGGCATTACGATGCTGGTCTTCTTCTTGATGGGAGGGACTGTTATAAAGAGTGCCCTTGATGATATAATGAAGAATGCACTTGATAAGCAGGAAATGGCATTGAAATGGAAGATGCATGTGCTGGCATATAGGTGTGAGGATTCAGTCGGTTTGGATTGATCAATTTTCACATTGGTCAGACTAATAGTAACCAAAATCTGAATAATGATATGAATCAAATTTAATTCAATTTTTTTTTATAAAATTGAATCGTCCAGAACCAAAGTTTAATTCAGTTTAAACGGTTTGATCATAAATACATCTTGATTTAGTTGTTAGTTGGAGTTTGGTTTTGAACAAAAATAAAAAATTACATATCTTATATATATAATATCAATTTGGTTGCATGAATCCTCTATTTAATTTTGAATTTTTCAGTTTGTTCGATTAAATGAAAACTAAGCCGTCCTAAAAATAGAAAACCAAATATTGAGGTTTTAAAAATAAAGAACATAAATGTATTTTTTGAAACAAAACTAAATTAAACAAAACTTTTCTGATCTGATTTGATTTTTTGATTTTGCCCAAATAATGCTCACCCCATTACTAAAAGAGTTATGTATACCTAATTAGAACTCCTAGATAAGAATATTAAGTTTTTTTATTGTAGAGAAGCTGATATTGGTAAGTTAGATTGGTTGTTATGGATGGTAATAGATTTATGAGATAAATAGTCTTAAGAAGTTTATATGATAAAGTGCTAATTTTAAGAGGCCAAGCGCGAACAATTTGAATATGTTTATGTTTTTGTTGATCTACCCCATTTTATCTGAGAGTATATAAATATTTGAATTAGTGCTTAAATCCCAATTACTAGAAGAGATTAGGAACATATTATTTTGATTTTCTCTTCGACCGGCAAAACATTTTCTATTTAGAGAAGTCATTGTTAAAAGTTGTAATATCTGTATTCTCGAGTAGAAATTGGTAGGGATTGATTTCTTTATAAATTTTGGGATTAATAATTTGATGATAGTTCTTTTATATCATTGCGGGCAACAGTTAAAGCTTGTTGAAATTTATAATGGGGAGTTGGTGCTAATGATAGTTTCGAAGGCTTGATAGTTTTGTGTTAATCCATTTTGAATCTGTAGTATGTTTGCTAGATCAACTAGCCAAAATAATAATATTATCGACCGTAGTCTTTGCTTTAGATAAACATTGACATATTGATTGATTCTTTATAGAGATGTTGTAAAAAGTTGGATAACTTGAGAGCGATTAGCATACATCTTCATCAATGAACTTTTTAGATCTAATTTTGAGTTTCTTGTAAGCAAGTTGGACATGATAGTTCTCTATGCTCCAACTTGAGAGGGGATTTTTCCAGCATGGTGAATTTGCAACTTTCCTAATATGGAGGTTTTCCCCGGCTATTTATCTTATAACCGAGTCTTAGAAAAGTGTGGAGGAATAATTTTTTTCTTTGCCCCAAAAACTACATGCCATGTAATTCTTAGAATTTATATGTCTAACACATAAACCTTAATTTTTACATATGCATGCCACCTTATGTATACATGAAAAAGTGTATTTTTCTTTTAAAAATTTAAAAAAAAGTGGTATTTTTATGTGATAAAAAAGTTTCGTTCATAATTAAATCCAATCTAAAGGATGAAAGTGTTGTTCTATTTTAATGAAATTTTAAGTTACATTAAGTAATTCTAATTTTAAAATAATATTTTTTAAAAATGTTGTAAGTGAAAAAAAAAAACTGTGATTAGCAATGAACAGTAAAGAAAACACTTTTCCGTTTAGTTTCATTTATTTATGTTGCAGTATTTTTTATTGGGAGTTATCATATTACTTATACTTCAAATAAAAAAATATACTTTTACTATAATAATACCCTTTAAATTTTTATTTTACATAATTATTAAGGAAGAATGAAAAAGTCTTTTTACGATACCTCAGAGGCAGATTTCAGTCACTTGAACTCCCCTCCCACTTCTCATGGGAAGGCTTTATACATGGGAAAAAATTTTCTGTCTGGACTCCGGACGTAGCTTTATGTGCGGACTCCAATAATATGCCACCATGTGTGCTACATCGCGGAGGTTATTGAAGTGGAATCGTGAATGTTATTTCGGGGTTATTTCGAAGTTATTTTGAGGATATTTCGAGGTTATTGAAGAGAAAATCTTATATTCCACTTCAATCACCCTGAAATAATCCATGATTAAGCCCGAAATGACCTCTGCGATTCCATTTTAATATCCCAAAATAACACGAAAGAGACTTGAAAAGTCCATTTTTATTGTTTTGAAAATTCCAAGGCTCCGAGTCGGGTTGTAACATTTCTCTTTTGTAAAGAATCTTTTAAAAGCATCAATTTCACGAATTATTTACTAATTTTTAAATCGACAACTCAAAACTAAATCAATCAAGTCAAAACATCGATTCTTCTTTCAAAAGTGTCTCTTATTCTAAGCTTTATACTCATCAACTTAAAGAAACTGCAACAAATCAGATTTCTTACCTAAATCTCTTGATTTCCTCGTTTTCTTCTTCTTTTTTTTCTTTTCTTTTTCTTCCTTTTCTTCTTTTCTCTTATTTTACTTTTATACCTGTGGGCTAACCCTAAAAACCCCTCCCCTTGTTTTTTTTTTTTTTAGTGTTATTATGAAATTAATTAAAGTTTACTGATTTATTCATTTATTATTTTATTTCTTAAAATGATCAAAATAAAACGTTGAAATTTTAAAAAATCATGTTTGGTCTTATTTCGAGATGTGCAAGAGGTTTTCTCATTACTGTTGTAAAATTTTATGGCATTACAAGTATTGCATAAACCACTCTTCTAGGAAAGATTGTCTCGTTGATGATGCTTTCCTCCCAGGTATTTAGGATTCTCTTTTTGGATGTTATGGAAGCCCTTGATATTGTCCGGTATGCTGTCTGTTACCTTGTGTTGCCCATAAATTTTTTTTTGAAAATCTCCAATATATATGCTTCTGATTTGAAACTTCGTTTTTGCAAGTCAAATCTGGAAACTGAGATTTTGGAAGCCGTTGAAGAGGCGCCAGAGATAAGTTCATTGCATCCTTCCTGTGAGCTGGTCCAAGAAAGGGAAGACCCTGTAGATAGCTTTCCTTCTAGTAGCAGCTTATCTGAGATTTCTGATTATACAGATAGGATAGAGTGCTTTTCTCTTCCTGATGCTCATGCTTTGTTGAACGTGACAAGCAGGAGAAGAAAACATCAAAATAGAGCCCGTCTATCTTTGGTGTGAATTCTGTTTTTTATTTTATTTTATTTTATTAGTTTTCTCGAGTTTTTACTCTTCATATTCGTAGAATTATAGTTTTTTTTAAAAATATTGTAGGAAGGCCATCAATCAGTAGCAAAGTTAGCAGAATTTTCTGAACTTTGCTTTGACGACGATGCTAAGGTGCTTCCATTCTCTGCTGTTTGCTATTCTTTTCAAACAAATTTTGTGCTATTTGTTGTTTCCCTTCAGATGAAATTGGATGATGCGAAGATTGAGGAATTGAAAGTTAGCTGTTTGAAAATGCAGTACACTCCCATTAAAAACTATTCTTCATCTCCTTATCATTTGACGGAAGGTGCTATTCAAGGCCCTAACAACTTGACTTTGCGAGAATCGGAAGCAATTCTTGTTATTAAACAACTTCAGGAACAGGTCCCTTTCTATTTAATGATTTTTTTATCTGGAACATGTTATGTATTATTATGATTAATTGACTAATTGACTCTCATCATTCATTCATCATTCGTAGATTAAATCTCTTGAAGTTGAGAAGATTTCAGTACAGGTGAATTTAGATAATGTTTTCGCCTTGGCAACCGAACAGAATGCTTCGTTTAGAGAAAAGTATGAAAAGGTATGCTTCATTTTCCCAGTTCATTTCTGTTGAGATGAACGCATTGTTTCATGTTAATTGTAATGCAGACAGCTACATGATGAACTTCACCATTTTTTGGTGATTATATATTTATTTGGTTTTATTCTTGGATTTTGGCGCTCATTGTTAGGCAACTCTTATTAATGCTTGTTTTGTCTTTTATCGACATCTCTTCTATTTGTTTCAATTTTCAACTACACTTCTGATTATTGATCTATCTTCATATGGTTTGAATTTTTAATTACATTTTATTTTTTGAACTAAGTTTAGAGATATACCTTCTCATTGCAAGGAATCGTCCTGAAAAATCAAGTGCATCATAGTCGTCTTTTGCTCCTTTCCTCTATTACTTACCGAGAACAAGATTACAGATTATGAGGGCCTTTTTAGCATCTGTTTGGGGCAACTGCAACTTATTAAAGGTTGTTGAGCAAATGCGCAAAAGCTTGTGGAGAAGTTGACTGTCTGTTTGTTTTTTGCTGTTTAGTAGCCGCTGTGCTGCAACTGTTTCTGAACAAATGACCTTTCAGCCCCGGTAGTATATTGCTGTTTATAACATAACTAATCCTGCTAGCACATTTCTTACTTCAAAATAAATATCAAGTTCGAACATTACAAACAAAGATAAACAATTCACTAAAAATGTGTAACACGACAATCAAAATTAAAAAAAAAAGTTAAAATAACTATTAATAATATGATAATGTTATTTTTAAAGTGCACTTAATTAATGTTTTGTGATAACCAGTCATTCAAGGAAACTCTCCATGCATAATCATTCTCAGCAGTGGAATCCTCCAACCCATCCACCCACTTGAAGAAGTTACAGTTTTCTGCTCTTTTCCTCAGACACATGTAAAACTGTCTCCTTAGTATGAGGCTGTTGCGAAATAAACAGAGAATATTGTAGGCCATAATACCAGTACAATGCTCTGAAGGTATCGAAAATTCTCAAGTTCATTTTTTCTGAAGGTTTAAAACAATAAAACACAAATCCTTAGATGCAACATGAGCCAAAAAAATATTAGTAATCAATGCAAAATTTATTAAACATTGAGATCTAAGAACATAACATAAATCAATGAATCTGTCATTACGAGAAGAAATCAGACTTTATAAAAAGAGGGTTCTTAGTTGCTTTTAACCACATAATACCGAGCTCGTTTGTGTCACATATTCATTTCACCAAAAAAGGTCATTCAGAGAAACGTTAAAGGCCATTGCACTAAAGATTGAGAGGAACTTGATTGCCTTCTTTGAGATTTCACACGCGATGAGAACCAATAGCTACATATAGGACATATAAAAGTAGGGGTGCAAACGAGCCGAAAATGAGCATGTCCAAGCTTAGCTCATGTTCGACTCGCTAAAATATATCACTGTCTGTGCTCAATTGGTTTATATAATATTGGCGCCTCTTTCTCCCGTGCACGACTGTTCTAGGGTTTCGTCTCATGGCGAACCCTAGCGCCAGCGTCTTCTCAATTCATCACGCTCGAAGATCCTCGACTCCTCAAGTCAGTTTCGTGCTCTTTCGTCGTGCTTCTCTGCTCTACTTTTTTTGTTTCGGCTTCGTCTGCTCCTTCGGTCTGCTCAACTTCATCTGCTTCAAATTCGTCTGCTTTGAATTTGGTCTGCCTTGAATTCGTCTGTTTCGAGACTTTATCCGTTTTGACTTCGTCTGTCTGTTTCATTGTGCTTCATCTGCTTCAACTGTCACTTTCGCAGTTTCGTCCTGTGTTCGACTTGGAAGGGGTTATGGTTGATCCCCTTTTTGGCTTTTGTTCTTTCGATCACTGTAACTTTGCTGTCTTATCGCTATTGTTATTTTGGGGATGACTTCAGACAGATCGTAGGCAACATCGTTTGCTTTGGCGGATGACATCAAAAAACTTGGTAGGAAAAACGGGAAGTCAACCATTTTTTTACGGAAGCAAAATTTAATCAGCTTGCTTACCCCTATCGTCTGAATTTGGTCGGAAAATTTCTTTATGACTATCCCAAAATGGAGCTTATTCGTAAAGAATTTGAGCTTATGCACCTTGTTGGGGAGTGTAAAATTGGATTTTTAGATGAAATTCACATCGTTATTCTACTAAATAATGAAGAGAATTTACACAGGATTATTTGCTTGATTAATTTGGATTGATAACAGAACAATGAAGATTTTGAAATTGTCGGTGGATTTTCACCCAGAGACGGAACCACCAATCATTTTGGTTTGGATTCATCACCCTGGTCTGAAATTTCATTATTTTACTCAAGAAGTGTTGTACTCTATTGCCTCAGCCTATGGTAAGCCACTCAAAACAAACATTCCTACTCTTAATGTTTCCCGTCCCACTGAAGCCAATTTGACATCTCTTCAATCATTTTTTAAAAAGTTTGGTTAGACACAACACCATGGATATTGATAAAAGATTGTGATTGGGTCTTTCCCTTTGTATTGTTTGAATTGTCGTACGTTTGACCACTCGATTTCTCAATGACACCATCAATACCCCCATCTAAAACCAAAGAAGCAAAGTGCTCAGCCAAAGACAGTGATTCGTCATTCTTCTGATCCGCTCTAAGTTATTGACACTTTTGATTATCAGAAGGATACTCTTGAGGATGGGTAATCTGCAACACAAAATTCATGATATAGGCCCTACTATGAAATCTCTTTTCACAGGGGCAGGGAAGACATTTCATACTTTGTCTACCCTAGAACCTAACTTTGATGTAATGGGTGACAATACTTCTACTGAGTTTCTACCGCCTCATAGGATAAAACAAGATGTTACTGTTCGTCAGGCTCATGGCGCTCATGATGTGCAACAACCTGCGCCTGTTCGACAATTTTTGGACCAATCTACGAAGTAGATGAGCCAATCTTCGGATGAAGAATGACAGGTTTATACACCCAAGAAGAAGAAGAAGAATGTAAACCTACTTCCAAACTTGAGGGATGATACATTGGTTGATTCAGGTAATGACAACAAAGATAACAATTGTTAGCCGGCTCCCGTTCCAGAACCAGAAGCAGAAGCACAGCTAAATTTTGGTGTACAATTTCTTAGTCTAATTTTTATTCTTAGTTTTTTGGGTATGCATGTATTTCCTACCTGTGTGTTGAATGTCAGATGGTCAGGGTGCCAAGATGGGCCCTCTTATCCAATATATCTGTACCTTTCCTTTATTAATATATTTACCTTCGAGCTTTTCTAAAAATTATATATATATATATATTTAAAGCCAACGTCTGATTTTATTGAAATATAAAAAGATACATAAAGGTTATATGAGAAGAGCCCAAAGAAGCACCCAACCCATATATAAATAAATAAATAAATATTTGTGGAAATAGATATTACTTTACCTGATGTTACTGAAGTCTGACTGGGCACAACCCATAATGGATATTGACAACAAATCGTCATGAAACATAGACCCCCATAATGTACCCACTGTAAGATGTTTGGACATATCTTTGATAAATAACAAAAGTTTAATCCTAATTTGAAAGTTAAGGTTCAAGTGTATAAGGATGGGGCTAACCCTACTACTCTGGACATTTTAGTTCCACCTGAGGATACCGTTGGCAGACTTTTTGTGTACAATTTCTTTGTATAATTTTTTTTCTTAATTTTTTGGGTATACATGTATTTCCTACCTCTGTGTTGTGTGTCAGATGGTTAGGGTGCCAATATGGGCCCTCTCATCCAATCTATATGTACATTTCCTTTATATATATATAGATTTGCCTACTTTCAACTTAACCAGACCTTCAGTGGCCAGAATACTTGTGGAAAGAGATATTAGTTTACCTGATGTTACTGAAGTCTGACTGGGCACAACGCGTAATGTATGTTGACAAGAAATCATCATGAAACACAGACCCCCATATTGTATCCACTGTAAGATGTTTGGGCATATCCTTGATAAATGCCACAAGTTTCATCCTAATTTGAAAGTTATGGTTCAAGTGAATAAGGATGAGACTAACCCCACTACTCTGGACATTTTAGTTCCACCTGAGGAGAATATTTTTGGCAGACTTTTGGTGTACAATTTCTTAGTCTAAGTTTTATTCTTAGTTTTTTGGTATACATGTATTTCCCAGATGTGTTGTGTGTCAGTTGGTTAGGGTGCCAATATGGGCCCTCTCATCCAATTTATATGTTCATTTCCTTTATTAAAAACGCAGGTGAGGCTGCCAGCAGCAACCTTCACCGTTGTAATCTCCATACGCAGCCGCCACCACTGCAACTATGGGTCGTATGCATAGCCGTGGTAAGTGCATTTCCTCTTCCACTCTTCCTTATAAGAGAACTCCCCCAAGTTTGCTCAAAACCTCTTCCCAGGATGTGGAAGAAAATATGTGCAAGTTTGCGAAGAAGGGTTTGATGCCCTCCTAGATTGGTGTTATTCTACGTGATCAGGTTGGTATTGCGCAGGTGAAGAGCTTGACTGGAAGCAAGCTTCTCAGGATTCTCAAAGCTTGTGGTTTTGCACCTGAGAGTCCGGAGGATCTGTATCATCTATAAAAAGGCTTTTGCTATCCGAAAGCACTTGGAAAGGAACCGGAAGGACAAGGACTCAAAGTTTTGGCTTATCCTTGTGGAGAGTAGGATCCATCGTTTGGCTCGTTACTGCAAGAGAACGAAGAAGCTTCCACCCGTCTGGAAATACGAGTCTACGACGACCAACATTCTTGTGGCTTGAGTTTTTTACTGTTACTTCTCAGTGGCAAGCGCTTTTATGGCTTAGGAACCCATTTAATGTTTTATTCGTTTTCTGTGGCGCAATCAAACGATGAGCTTTCTTTTATAACTTCATTTCTCTCTCCAACCCATTAATATGGTTACTGCTTTTAAACTTTAATTTGCCTCGTTTGAATACTTCACCATATACTGTGAACAGTTTATATTTGCATGAACAGTTTATATTATTATTTTCATATATA